AGTCGCGGACGAGAAGTAAGGGATATTTTCGGTGGAAGTTTCGCCATAGTTGAGCAGACACTTCATTCCTGGACCAGTACATCCTATGTATCTCGTACCGCCCAAACAGAGTCGTCATGTGGTCATGACTGCAAACAGCATACAGCACCGGAAGAGCATGGCTTTCTACTTGCTCAACGTATTGCATGTATGCACACATTAGTGATTCGGTTAGGGATAAAGTGCGCGAGTCTGTCAGCTCGGCATGAGAAAGCTCAAGCAATGCACACTTAATCTACACCATGTTAGCACCACTGTCTAAACTGTCCCACGTACATATGGTTATATATGCGGGATTACCTCTTCAATGCTCTTGGAATGGCTCAATAGCAATTGTGCGCTGTTCGATCCAAGGCGTTTCACCAGCTCGGAATATACTGTGACATCCACTGCGGTGAGGCATCCCATGAGAAATGCACCTAAGCGTTGCTGGCATCGGTAGCGAGCGTCCGGGTGCAGTTTAAGACTGAGCAGGCGATCGAGAAGGGACTCTATTTGATAATGGTCCTTGATAACGTCTGAGAATTGCAGGTATGGGGAAGACATAGCGGAAGAGGGCAGGCTGGAAAAAGCGTAGTTTAAGATACTCAAGGAGGGTCCATTCGTGAGTGAAACTCCTTGCGAATGGCTCTTATTCAGCACTTATCGCCATCTTTTAACTACAAAGCTCGTGATACAAGTATGAGCGTAGACAAACGTCATAAGAAAACATTTACCATAACCGATATTATGGCCTAGTGGTAACCTGTGGATCGAGAATCACAGGGTGGTATGTTGATACGAGAAGGGCCTAAACATGGCTGACACGAGAACAATCCGCGGTCTAGATTTTGCGACGTATTTCATCTATCATATGATAGGCGTGTGTAGCCAACAGCATCTTCATTTTTGATTCTCCCCGCACCAGCTTGAAAAGCAGGGTCCAAGCGGCCCGAGTCGATGGAGGAAGCTGGAACGAGTATTCGTGTTTGATTGGTGTATCTCGTTCGTACGGGGAAGTGGCACCATCCTGCTGGGATTACTCCCTGTTTTACTCGTTGGTTTGGTTGTAAACTGAACGCAATAACTAAATTATGAATTTATGGCGTTTTGATGAGCGATGTAATTGTCATGCCACTCATGACTGTTTGCTGCACGACACGTATGTTCCCTATCATGAGAGGCTTCATCCGTGCGCAAGAGCATGATCCATCAGTTCCCATCGACGGAGCATTTCATGGAAATGCCATATAAGATCTCGCTCCGAGATCCAGAAGTGTCTGGTGTTTTGGTAGCGAAAAATCTAGCATCCTGACATCCGCGTCCTAGATTCGCATCCTCTACAGTTTGGTCATACAAAGAATACCAACCACCATGGCTATGTCTTCACCTGAAAATGTCATCACAGACTATAAATCGCTGCCTCCACTGCCCATTGGCCAGCCCGAGCTGATCCTCATGCTCCAGCCAGGGCTGGAACATGTCCTGTCAAGTTCACAACAACTCATTTCGTCCAAAGAAGATCTTACGAATATCCACGGCGTTCTTGATCGGCATGGCGCGTCCATGGCGTTGCTTTTCGGCACTACAGAAGAGCGACTCCGACAGCCGCAGCTTGCAGCCCACGGGAAGCGAGCATTCCCAGCAACATACGCATATGAGGAAGATCTATCTACATTTTACCGGGTTCACGCAAAAGCGGACTCGTTGGAGACTATTGCTGCAGAGCTTCGAAAGGACCCTCAGGTGCGAGCGGCGTATGTCAAGCCGGGCGGGTCGCCGCCTGTGATTCTGGCTGAGAAGCTACTGGTGAAAAAGGAAGCCGTGGCTCCATCCACAACGCCGAATTTTGTTGAAAGACAGGGTTATCTCAACCACGCTCCAGAAAGGGATCGACTCCATCAAGTATGCCAATTACCTGGTGGGCGGCCAAGGGGAGGGAATCCGCATCGTTGACTGTGAATGGGGTGGCGGTTTACCCACGAGGACCTCCTGGAATATGACGGAGGACTGATTGCGGGAACCGCCACCACCAATGAGGACTTTGTTAATCACGGCACAGCGGTTACCGGAATTCTGGGAGGGGATGTGAATGCGTATGGAGTGACCGGAATATGCCCACGTGCCACCATTTTCACTTCATCGTTCTGGGATCAGAGCACAAGTACCGCTATCAAAGCGGCGGCGGATCGATTGGGCCCTCGTGATATCATTCTGTTGGAGATCCATCGCTCAGGCCCAAGAGCAACAGGCAATGGCCAGGAAGGTTATATTCCCATCGAGTGGTGGCCAGATGACTTTGCTGCCATCAAGTACGCCACAAGCAAAGGGATTACAGTTGTTGAAGCTGCTGGCAACGGTGGAGAGAACTTGGACGACCCAATCTATGACGCCCGGCCGTCGTATTTCCCTGCCGATTGGACAAACCCCTTCAATCCGGCGAATCCGTCGTCAGACGCAATTCTTGTGGGCGCTGGAGCTCCACCACCTGGAACCCATGGGGTTGACTACGGCCCTGACCGATCACGACTGTGGTACTCTAACTACGGGGCTCGAGTAGACGCACAAGGATGGGGTTATGAGGTGACTACAACTGGCTATGGATGGCTACAAGGCGGACCCAGTGCCGACCTCTGGTATACTGATGGGTTTAGCGGCACTTCAAGTGCCTCGCCCATCGTTACCGGAGCGCTTGCTTGTGTGCAGGGAATTCTCAAAGACTTTGATCGTCGCCCGCTTTCGCCGACTGAAAGTCGTTCTATATTGAGGAAGACAGGCTCATCCCAACAGGATGGGTACTGGGGTCCTGTCGCCCAGCGTATTGGTAACCGGCCTAATATTCGGGAGATGCTCCAAGCTGCACTCAATCGCTGAATCGTGTGTTGTGTGTCTGGAAGGAACGGCGGTTAATTTGACTAGTTGCAACCAATTTGACAAATAGTACTGAATCTGATTTTACGAAAAAACCTACTGGTAGAAATCTCCCCATTACGGATAGGTAGCAGGCCCAGGCATACTATGTATCTAGATCCGTAATCTATAGGGTCAGACTGCCTGGGTTTTGTACTGAGGTCTTCTGCGACCTTTGAGGTGGAGAATCACGATGCTACTTCTATCATAGGTGATTCTCAGGCCAGCTGAGCCTTGGAGACCATCTTTTCAATTGCGAGACCCTTTGATTGAGCGGAAAGGTATGGCCTCGGCTGAGGTCTAACTCGAGTGTTGAGACAAGGTGATTTGGTGGGCCAGTTCCCACCTGTCACCCCCGTCGGGCGAAGTAGGTATACTATTGGATCAAGACCAGGCAATTCATCTACTTCTGCCCTTCTCAAAGGTGTCTCAAATATGTCTCTTGCCATCATAATTTCTGGCACCGTACTCTGTACTGTGAAACAAGGTTTGAGACTTGTGACTCACAGCACGTCTCGGTAGCCGCTTTCTCTACTTGTCTTAGATATCCTAGTGCTTGATGCAAGACGACGCGACGAATGTGCGTTTGCCTGACAAGGTTCCATGAACAAGGTCCTGGTTTTGAGGGTACCGGCAATGCCCGGCCAAAGGCTCAGCGTGTGTTGCAGTAGTCATGCGGACTATGTTGAGTATAGAAACCCAAGTACAGCGGTGTCAATCCAATCTGAATCAGTGCCACTGGGCCACAGTGCGAGCACTCAATGCTTTTATGGCGAGGTGAAATGGCAAGGGACAAAGATGTTTGTATTTTTGGACACTTCGACCTCGCCTGTTTGTGCTAGGTGGTGGCATAAGGTGTCAACTGAAACATACTGATGTGCCATTATCATTGCCAATAAGATCAATGCTATCGTCGCATTAGTTCATCTTAGAGTGCTTGGTTAATCACTTGAGCCGTGCCATGTTTTCAATCTACCGACCGAGACAGTACCTGCTGTCAACATCATGGAGGCTTGAGAGGAGTTGCATTCGGTTCAAATAACAATGGACTATTGAGGTGGTCTGTAGACCCGTTCTTGGCGACAATTGGCCCAAATAGCTACTAGCCAAATGTCCCACATGCAATAACCCTGTGGCTGTCTCTACTGAACCTGCTCATCCGTATGGAGATGTGATCCGGTAGGGTCTGCAGTAGGGGCATATTAAGAATATAATCATGCATTATGTATTGTTCCGCTTTGCAGACCATCGAAGAGTTTCTGATATAACCAGTGTCTGGCGAACAAGACAGTACGTACGCCAGACAGTATTGGTGCGCCCATCGGCCCCGGTTTCCCAGGACAGACACATAAAGCGTGTGGCGTCCAAAATGAGCTCAATAGGCACTGCCTATCGTCATCCGAGTGGCAATTCCGCATTCGGCCGAAGTCTCGCCCCGGATATGAAATCTATACTCTTGTATCCTTGAAAGTGCATCGTTTTTCACTGTCCTTTGTTGTCGCATATGAATACAAAATTTCATCAACTTTATTCAGCTACACTGGCACGCAATATAAACTTGAAGGTGCTCCTTTGGGCGGGATATTCATAATAGTCGATGGAAGCGATTTGGTGGTCATCGATCATTCTCCTTGTCTACTAATAGCTTTGTAGGTAGATTATAGTGGGAGTTATTTGAAGCCCATTTGTCAACACTTTTGTGTCGTTCGATAAGTAACCATATGTTGCTCGATGCACGAAACAGTATTGGATTATGGGGTCATAAGTCGGTTACAACCACCTGGCAGCCAATATTTGACCCCGCAAGACGCCACATCAAATCACAAGGTTGATGGTGATCTGGCCACATCCAGCTTCATTCATATATGTATCGCCCCACAACAAATCTAGATCACAAAATCTAGAATCCCACAGAATAGCAAGAAGCAACCCACAGCGCTGTAGATGGAGTCTAGAGGCTTCCAAATGGGAAGGAATGAAGCCGACTGCGGACGGTCACCTATCGTTTCCTTTCCCCCAACTAGTGAACATATGTTGACAGGCCATCCCTCATAGCTTCTGCCTTAAGAAGGCAGATATAAAAACTGGCAGCCATGCCTCCCGTATCGCTTCACGGTTTTCTTTTGACTTTGGATAAATTTGGATAACACAAAGATTCCTGTCTTGCCTGTGAACCATGGAGAATCTCATCTCTAATTGCTCTGGATCGGAAAGTCATCGCAACCTCGATTCTAAGTCATTTTCAAGGCTGAAGCCTGGGGCTCCGCAATATACATGGCTCTCAGCAAGTTCCCTTGCATCTCGCAAGGCTATTGAAGACTCCTCTTACACCACAACTGCCCCACAATCCCCGGGCGCACCTACTCCTCCATCAGGGCAAGTGTCCTATAAACCCTGTTTGGACAAGACTGGACTCGACACAGTGGATTCGAAACTCATCGATCAGACAACCGATAAAGTACAGCCGCAAAATACAGATCGGCGCTCAGATAAATGCAGAGACTGTATTATCAAAGCTGGCTCCGGGAATAGGAAAAGAGCGCCCGACACGAGGAAGGCGCCCTGTGAGGTAAGCAGCGAATGTCTGCTTGAATGAACATGTTACTCATCTCACTATAGATAGCCGCTGCACAGAAAGGTGGAGCACGCTATCAATAGTTATGCATTTGCTGGCTGTGCAACTCAGCTGTATGGCAGCACAATAGCATGTCGCCGTCGCTTCTCCTTTAATCACCATGATCATGCAGATACCACCGGTAACCCATATCGTCAGGCCTGAGAACATGGTCTGCAAACGCGATAACAATAATTTGCGTTATCTGATGGGCTAAATTATTTCGTGTTCAGTTCCTATACCTGTAGATGGTATGAGGCGCGTGAATCTTTCATATTCCTGAGTCGATGGGGACTCTGTTTGCTGGGTCCAGAATTGAAGGGTGTCTATTAGTGAATGAAGATACCTAGCGTCACTGTACGATTGAGCCACCATTTGTTGGCCTTGTAAATCCGAGAATCCATTAAAGTCTCATACATTACCACAACCACGTTGTGACGGCTTTGATGCAGCATTTGCCGCGTGGAGAAGAGCGCACCTACACGCGCCTTAACCAACTTAGCAATATCGTTGTACTGTTCTGGTGACTCGATAGCTTATACATCTGAGAATGGAATCGGATACTTTCCTTCTATTCATGAGCTAGCATCAAAGCGTCACAACCAAAGGGTGGTGAGTAGATCACACGTTTCGCATCCTAGGTGTTCATTGTCCAAGCTGTCATTGATAGCAACAGCGATTACGTAGAGGTATCCACTTGACTTCGCTTTTTTACTTTCCTGGTCCCTAGCCAGCTACTTTGTTGGACCTTGATCAGGTCCATGTCTGTTGTGTGGAAGACATATTAAGAAGGTTGAGTGAAGTTCCCGTATTATATTGCTTTCCAAGCTCTCATTTCTGGTCTCTCATTTAGCGGTACGATTGAGCTGGCTCTGGCCCAGACTAGTTGGCCAAATAATCTTTCTTGCCTTCTCGGTGGGATCTAAAGGGGGCTGACGCCACAAACGCACGATCCTCATCGCACGCCATATATCGCCCCATGTCCGATCCTATGACCCCACCGGTCATCGAACTCAAATTTGGGTCAGATTGTGGACTATCGTGACGCGGTGCTTCCTACTTCCTACCAGGGAGATGCAAAAGAAAAAGTCTGCTATATATAATATTACATGATGTGGTCCTATTCCGTGAGGAACAATCCTTTTCGCTTATTGATGAACTTCCTGGTCCTAAGAGATGGGTCTAGCTAATTGAGGAAATTCGAACATTTCACGTGGGTTGCGTACAAATTCGATAAGATGAACAGTCAACCTTGCGAATCACTATACTTGGTGTTAGATCAGTTCGCGCCGCTGTCACCAACGCTTTAATTCTAGGTCAAGTTGTCAGCGAACTGCTGCAGATCGATAGGAAGACCCATTTGCGGAGGCTATTCCGGTACCTCAGTCATGTTGTCCTGTTTTATTTCTATGTAAGCGGTCGATGTCCTGTTACGTGAGCCTTGAACCAATACGATTCATTCGCTCATACTACTAATAACGTTGGATATATGAACTGCGTATTCAATCGTGTTCGGCAGCAACAGTTAACTTTTTGACAAGCAATAAAGCCATCGGGACTGACTCAAATAGAACTAATCCTAGCCTATACTAAGAGCCTCGCAAACTTCGGGTGGTCACTCAGTGCCTAGCTACAGAGCCCGGCTTTAGTGACTATCTTATAAGCTACAAAGGTTATATAGAAACTTGATCTATTTTACTACCGCATCCTATTCGTTAAAAAGTCGGCCAGTTCACCTAAATCCTGGTTAATATTAAAAGTAAGTTATATCAGATTATTAGGGCTGATTAAACAGCCGTTATAGACCTTGGCAAATTCAGTGGCTAAGATAACGTTAGATAGGATCTTGTGCCTGGCATCAGCCACAAGATACACATGCTCCCAGGTTCCGAGCAGGGTTGTGAGGCTTTCTTGGAGAATCAACCTGACACTGTACCCTGCACACTCGCACAGCTGACTATTGAGATGGTTGCGCTTTGCTCTGGAGAGCCACTAAGAAATCCAATTGAATAGCCAAGTCCATTACGAAAACAAAGCACTTCAAAGGCACCACAAAAAGACCAACAACAAGACTATAGTTGCAGATTCCCGTAGGCAGTCCATAGCATCGAAAGTATACCATCACAGCAATCTTACTCGTGGAGATAAAATATCACCAGTGCCTTCCGTTACCACAAGCTTCCCGAATCTGCTTCCCATATGCAGAACCTACATGTATTTCATGGACCCGTCCATCTTTTTTCTGACTCCAACGAATGTGCAGAGTCATAGAGCAAAGAATGAACAGATAAATCAGACATGCCCTCGTAGGTCGGAGCTGAGATTGACCTATTCAACAGGGTGGCCTGGTCATCTTGCTCCGCATCCGCATTTAGTGAATGGTAGGCGGTGGATATGAAGTTCCGGTATTGGCCTGGAAACAGGCCCTTGTCTAAATCACTCTGCCATAACCTGCGGGTAGAATCAAAGGCTTTGCGTATCTCCTCTCGCCGTGCGTTATCGTACTGTTGAAAAAGTTCAATGGGTGGACGATCGACTCCGTTGGCAAAGATGTGCGCGAACAGCACTGAGTCTTCTATAGCGTATGCGGCCGACTCTTCGCGGGGAGGCATCTATGTCATGGCAATTAGTGTTTGCGATATGCCGTCTCTGGACATTGGACACCACTTACTGCATGCGCCGCATCTCCTAGTAGCAAAGTATGTGCAGTATACCATTTTCTACATCCCTTAACCTGGTACACGGGGTACAAGGCCCAATCGAATGTCTTGTCAATCCATTCCTGGATCCATGGCAAAGTAGACTTGCCAAATCTACAGCGAACTTGGTGCCGCAGAGCCATCTGAATAGCCGTCAATGCCTCCTCGTTCTTCGTCGCAAGTGCCCTGGCTCGATATTTGTCGACCATAAATTCATTGACATGGGTGACAGCAGCCACAAACACCGACTGGTGGCTTTTGTCGCAGTAAGTGGCTAGAAAAGATCCATGACGATTCAGATGAATTGCACTTCTCTCAAAATGCGGATCAGCGCCAACGCGGTCGGCCGTTGAAAGCGTCTGTATAAAAGACACTCCCGAATAATCGGATAAGTGGCCCGGGTCAACAAGCTGGCTTCGTACAACCGAGTGGACGCCGTCACATCCAAGAAGCAAGCTTCCTTTGGCCGAAGAGCCGTCTTCGAAAGTAAGTATAACGGCTTCGGGTACTTCACGGACGGTCACGACCCGCTTCTCGAACTCAACCGAGACTTGCGTATCCTTGAGCGCCAGCGCAAGCATTGCTTCAAAAAGCGCCTTTCGCAGTACCCGTCGGCCCTTATGCTTACCACTATGGCCATTACTACCACCCCCAAACTTCAGCGGTTGTAAGAAATGGCCATTATGCAGTGACAGGACTGAGATCCCATCTACTTCAAGCCCTGCCATCTCCCCCATACTGTCTAGTTCGGCCAGGACCCCAAGCGTATTAAAATAGTATAACGCCAGTGGAGTCAGGCTGATCGCGCCTCCATCTCCAATGGCCTCTTTCGTCCTGCTTTCAAAAACGGAGATCCGGTAAGGCTCATTTCTTCGCTTCAATTCGGTAGACAGCGCAATGCTAGCTGTGAGTCCTGCAACACCTGCGCCGACAATAATAATGTGGCGGGGCATAGTGCCGGAGTTGACTGATGAGGGCGCAAGTAAAATTTGGAACAAAGCGATACAACGGTGCCTAGCAGTTGTAACACTACCAGCCGTCGACAGTAAAGGGTGAAATAGTGATGTAAAAGGATCTCAGAAGTAATAAGAGGTGGTCAGAAAGGGAGGGGAAGACTTATGTAGCTGCAGCATTCAGTAGAGGGCTAAACTTTTGTACTACAGGCACTGGGAGAAAAATGTGCCTCCGGAAGTTCACCCTCCTGAACACTTTCTTTTTCTCTTTGCGCCCATGAGGTGGCAAGGGGGTATCGTAGGGAATGAAAGGACTGGGTTATCACAAAGCAGCTGTGTTCCGTCCGGATCTGCGTGTCCAAACAGATAGAACATCTGGGGGCCTAGGCCATGGATCTTCCCCAGAGCTTTTCCCTGGTGGGTCACCGAACCGCACGTGCCGCTGAGTGCAAATGCCGAGACGGTTCCAGCAGCGGATATTACAGCCGACAGATTGCGATATCTGATAGGATGGAAACCCATTCCGCATCCCGCCTGTCAGACACAAGTGCATGAACGAAATTAACGTTCGGATGCGAGGCACTGTGGGGCCGCCGATCTTAAGCCGATTCTCCAATTGGGAAATCAGACTCTCTGACAGACTGTGTGCGACCAAAGCAGCATAACCACCGTGAAGGGGCCATGCAACGGCGAACTCTTCCAGGCGGCAGTCACTTGCTTGATGGCTTTCGATGGAAATCGCAGTGCTTGAATTTACGAATACAGTAACCAGTATACGTCTATGGATGTACGTTCAGCCACATTGCGAAGTAAAGCGTATTATACACAGTTTCAGCATAGAACCTCAAATCGCCCGTAACATTTTAAGTATGCTTGCCTTCTCAAATTCGCGTTTTAATGACACATTCTGCGCCCGCAACTCTTCTATGCGGCCGATCGCCCCTTCTAAAATGCTTCCTTTATTCATCGCCTTCATATCACGCCCAGAGGGTATTGAGCCCTTGTCAAAGCCAAGGGCTCTCGCTAAGTCCTTGAATTTGTTGTTCAAATTCTCCCGGTACCGCTTCTCAACGAGATTGTGTCTGGCCCGAGTCCCAACTACCTTGCTTCTGGGCGCGTATTTCGATCGCGTTGAGCTCGAACCCGCCCGGGAGCGATTGGCCACGGATGGGACCAGAGGGAAAATATCGCTGCTCTTCGACGCGTTCTCTTCAGCAACGTGACCCGAGATATCTGTATTATACGATACTGCCTGATTGACGTCACTGAGAGAGTATTTCAGAATCAAAAATCTCTCCGAAAGTCTTTCACTCGGAGTAAAGTCAACTTGGCTCCACTCCAGAAGGTCGTCAATGTCCTGGTTCTGCGACAAACAAGTCAGAGAACAAAACCCTCCGTGTGAGTGTATCAAAGCAACCTACTGATAGCTCTGGTAACGGTATGCACGGCGTCTGTGGCTGGTTTATACTCGGGAGCGCCGGTTCGCCAGCTTTGTGGAGGCCGTCAAGGGCTGAAAAGGGTTCGCCGTGTTGCGTAAAAGGTAAATGCAGGTCTCTTTGCTTCTCCGAGTTATGGAGCATTTGAAAAAGGCCATATCCAATTGCAGCATCCGAAGATGCACAGTCAAACTGGGGTACTGTCTGCGCCATGAGACCGTATTCGCTTTGTTACTGACAACACCCTTCTCTATCCTGCAGGAGACTACGAGGACGCGCTTTTAATACCGCTGAAACCGCGCATGATGTCATTGTCGAGTTGAGGAGGAGGAGGAGGAGGAGGAGGAGTAGAATGTCTGCGGCAATTGCATGAGTGGCAAGATGTCTAGGGGCCCCGGACTTCCAAGGATAGTTCAGTACATCGCGATGATCGCCGCGTTCTTTTTTACGCCCAACGGTGGCTCGCCATATAAGTGGCGGAGTACTTCCATGCTAACGCCATCTCGAGACCATTCAAGTCATGGAGTACAAACAAGGTTAACCCAGTAGAGAACGGCCCAATCGGACCATCAACCACGGATTAAGCAAGCGGCATATCTCGGATCCGAACCCCGCACTCCTCCGGAGTAAGATGGCCCAGATCTGATGATAGGTACCTACTTAATTTAGTCTGGCGTTGAGCCTGACCTCCCTTGAATGAAAATTGCTCCGTACTGATTCCCTTGTCACACACATGGGGAAGCCGGTTCGGCCGGTCGGGAAAGAACCAGCTCCAGACCAACCTAAATTTCTCCTCGTCCTCCCCCCGAAACAACGCTTATCTACCTAGCATCACCAATTGCTGGTTTTTCGACACGTATCACGTTCTGCCCGAAATACATACTATTCGCTGGAGAAGTGTCATCACTGCCGGTCAGTCCCCTGTGGGAAGGAATTTATGGTTTTTATGGGTTCCATGACCAAGGGCATATTCGTTTAATAACGAAATCCGCAGAATATATTTTACTCCCATTTGAGCATCATATCCCCCCAAGTTAGCCACATGTAGCAAGTTGTTTAAGCCTTCTTATCTCCGAAGACGCAACAGTATTCGTAGGTTTACAAGCTGCGGTCTCTTCGCCTATGCCGAGTCTTACCATGTGATTTTCTAATTAGGTCCTAATCTAGCAGAGAATAGCGAGTCTGTACTGGAATGGGTTAGTGTTTGAAGATAAGGTGGCCAAACATCACTAGCATTGGAGGGCAATGGCGTGAGAGGGATTCTGTCTTTAGATGACCTGGCGTTGATGGCCGTTTAGTATGCTACCAATTTGTTCCTATCCTAGGTGGCTCAGGTCATGTCGAAACTGGCCCCTAACATATCACTTCTCCCACACCAACGCAGGCCGCGAGCATATACAACCCCGCATTCACGAGATGCAGTTTGAGTCACTATAGCCACTGGGCGTGGTACGAATCTCGCGTCGGCCGAGGGTCCACTCCGCAGTATGCCCGAGAGACAGGTGGAAGGGAATACTAAATGACGGGACACACCACAACGGATCAAGCTTAGCAAAATATTATAGCCCAGGCAATTGCGCATTTGGTATTGCCTTAGGGACAGAGCGAGGAGCTATCTCCGAGAAACGCACAGACCTCCGTCCATACTTGCTCCTGCTTGTAAAAGTGGCCGCATTAGCAGCGCGACGCTACCTACAAGAACTCGATTTCTTCAAAACACAATGAAAATTTGTGCCCGGCCTGCCTAATGTGCGCGATTGGGACTGCAAACCATTGCGGAAGGTTGACGTGATCGGATTGGATTCTGGTCCGCATGAGTCGGAGAGGGGTGAGGTCGCAGAAATTGGCTGCCATCCAACCAGAAGTTGCAGGCCGTTGGCTGTGTTGTTCGCCACTGGCAAGGCCAACTTTAGCTATTTCAATAAGGGAAACAGCCTCTCTAAACCTTATGGCACATGAGCAGCGCGGTGACCCGCCATAGAAGATCTTAACCAAAGATCCAAGATCAGGCCTCAGTAACATATTCACCAGAAGGGACCACGGTCGCTTGGCCAAGCGAAGCCCATCCATTCCCTGTACTACACACTTCTCGGCCCTCAGGCGCTGAAGTATGAGTGGTCCAGTCCGCGCGGAACTGGGCAGCCTCGAGTGGCGACGATCGAGCTTGCATATGCCTTGCCTTTCATACAGACAATAATCATGAACATCTGAAGACAGGTTCGTCTTCTGAATATGTGAGGAAAGCCCTGGACGGGAATTCTAAATAATTCCTGTTCTTTCCCTCCTTCCCAGTCATTTTCACCCCGTTCTTCTCTCATCACATTCGAAAGTAGTTGCAGCTTAGCGCTGTTGCCAACCGACATTCTTACTAGACTCGGGACCACAACCGTGGACAATCTTGGACACTGGTTGGTTAGAAACTATATGCCACTCTCGGCTTGGCACGAGTGCTTGGACAAGAGGATACGCGAGTCATCAGGTTAGGGAAGTTCAAACGGCGATGCCGTCGTCATAGTCAGGTGGGGGTTTCATATAGCGAAGGTATGTTCTAACATTCTGGAAAGCAACTGGTCTACGAGAAAATGAAGTTCGGAAATAATACGTGTTGGGAACAATTAGGACTATATTAACGGCATAAGGCAAAACCACAGTCGTGACCGCCTATGAAGTCCAGTCTGAAACGTAGACTTCCGAATATACAATGATGCATGTGTACTAACTGAATAGAGCACAATGGCCCTGTTTCCAAGCTGCATTCATATCTCCTTGGTTTGGCTTGGCCAGGATACTATAGGCCATTATCTTATTGGCGACAGCGATGCCTTGCCACAGGGCGACCCGGCCTAGGTGCCAGGCTGAGAGCTCATATTCTCGCCACTGAGAAGTGGCTGATTCGGCCCATGTCCACACCCCTACATCGCTTGCATGGTGAATCGGGTCCGTCATCGGAACCAAAGCCGTTTAAACTACCATTCTGCACTAGCCTCTAAGGCTATAGGATGATCTTAACAGCAATCTCCAAATAGAACTCTGACCGAGCAGCTCAATTGGATCCTGACACGAAATTCGATACTGTACAGATAATAAGTTGCAGGGCCCTATTTTCACGCGGAAGTAACTCTTTAGGGGTTTCAGACTGATCGTTTGAGAATCATGGCGCATTTATGTTTCAGGTAACAGCATCGTTCCCTATCCCTTGACTGAAAAGCCGCCTTTCCAATATCAAGAGCCTTACTATGTCAATGGTAAGGAGTGACCTCAGTTCAAGGAGCAAGAGAGTGCCGCAAGTGCTACCCCTTCATCAAAGTACCTCTGAAGCCGCCAAATCTACCGATACGCTTAATCCTTGCGGTTTCTATATTTTATATATCGACGGGGCTGACCCGAAAAACGTTCCCAAACGCTCTTGTTGCAAGTTGGTTTATACTCTACAGTCACAAATACAGTAGACGTGAATGCCAACTAATTTATCATGTATGACAGGGCACTTGCTGTAGGAAGTTCAACCTGGAGGGTAGACAGAATTAGATGCAGAGTAAAGCACAGCAATCCCGACATAACAGAACGTTGCGGCGGAGACTACTGTCCGCCAGCAAATACAACATGCTCCACAATGTTGGCGAGAGCATACGAGAAGAGCTCCAGTGTTGGCGTTTACTTATAGATTCTTTTGTGGTCTGCATGACCTCACATAGAGGGTAGTATTAGTAGAATGATAGACGGAAACATAGAAAACAAAGCGAATTGGTGAGCTGCAACATTCAAGCAGACAATCTCCCTGGCATCGCCGCCCTTATCTAGAGAGTTCCTGACTCGATCCTGATCCACGACCATCGCTGAAGAGCACTCGGGAGCCATCCATTTGATATAAAAACCACTCACGGACACAATCAGCAAGCTCACTTTCATTTGCCGAACACCAATTCTCGTGCAACACTAAATATTTTCGGAACGACTTATAAATTCCACAAGCAATAGAATGTTGTCTTTCCTTCCAACCACTATCGGCTGAACGAGCGTTCTGCTCGCTGAAAGGAGGGTATAGAGGCCGGCCAAGGATAGCGCACACCCGTGATATTTGCCCGGGGAGGACTGCGAGAGCGACGTATCCGCGTTCACATGCCTCATCATCAAGAGGAACCACTGCTAGAACCACATCAAAGAGTCCCAATTTCTCGATGGCATATGTGGGATGGGGCTTGTAAGAGCAAATGCCCCAGTACGTCTGTAGAAGGATACTATTTAACGGTAAAGTCTCTTCAGATTTAGGGTTACTTGCCTCAAGATACGGCATGTCACTATCGCATCCCGGCTTAGATAGGTTGACTTGGTGTCATTGAGGCCTGGTATGAAGGGACCGTTGACATGTTATATAGCAGAGGAACAACGTTCAAATGAACCCGTAGGCCCCAGTGGTTAAATCTTAGCGCTAAAGACAACCTAAAGACGTGAACGCCCAGGCTCCGGACTATGCAAGCTGTATCCAATTGGCTAGCTAAAATTTCCGATGTGGTCCGCATCGTTAGCCTAATTAGAAGCGACTTCGTCTCGACGTCATTTTATTCGCTCAATACGCCCCCCAAATCAAATCTGCACCAAGGAGCTCAAAGAAGATTCAACAAAAAAATATTTTGGCAAGATCTTGGGCTATACATACGCTGTTTGAGATGGTGTCACGTTGAAAAAGACGCTTGATTCTTACACACGCCCACTAAACTTATCAAATAATCTTCACCAGATGCCACCACCGGCGAACAACTTCGCTCTTCTTAGCTGGTAGGGGGTGGGATACAGTATGGTTTCTATGCTAATAGCGCTTGTGGCTCTGCCCATCCCTAGTCGGAAAGGATATTGAATGGCAAGCATCCAATTTTAGAGCTGACCACCAGTGGGGGACTAGTGGAGAGAGTCGGTAGGACGCGATGGATTACTCCGCCTTGTTAATGAGAACATAAGCCAATACCCATAAACCACGTGGGGGGATGTGAGGCAGATAAGGTAAATACTTGGTTCTTGGGGTTGTACAGCTGATGCCACAATATCATGTTGATTCTAGCGAAAATGAGCCCTAGTTCGAACTTGATAAGTTAACGCCGCTGATTTCATTTACGCCGGTCCGTATAATCAGATGCATTTGTTTTCCCAGCTGCGATTATGTAGGTAGTAGCATCTCCACAGGGTCAAGGCTTTTGCAGGCCTACCCTTCGTCAGTATATTGCGTAATGAACCATTGTGCAGCACTCTACCTCTATACTCCAAACCGTCATAAACAACATATCTGCATGCAATAAAGGGCGTGAGTTTGTGGCTAAGCACTTGGATAGGGCGGCAAACAGTGAAATACATACAGTAAATGGCATGCCATCAATTGTCTATACTTTCTTGTACAGATTGAAACACTCGCGCTGTGCTGAAAAGTTGATAATCTTTCGCTGAACGCGTTTGAAATTGTATTATCCATCAAAAATAACAACGCCAGGAGAATAAGTGAACACACCTCTGTGGCGGATTCAGGGAAACAGCCTGTGTCCTTCCTCCTGCGAGTCAAGTAGGCGTCTGTATGACATCACTCTGACTAGTACAGATAGTCAGATGTAGAAGGTAGGCCCTCTGCATAGTAGTATACACCGTTGTCAATATCAGGTTAGCTCTACATGTTTCCCTAATATGCTGTATCAAACCGAAATGTGTTGGCAGACTACAACACGCCATATGTCATTTTACCTTGCACCTTAGACTGCAATGACACTTGACCATGTCGGGCAAGTCACTACTGCAAGTAATATATGCAATGCCGTCTGTGTCGCTGGATACATATTCCAGCCTGTTACGGCACACCAGCAGTCTAAACCCCCTGGCTGCCGCTATGTAGGTAGTCGTCACGAGTAGTCAATCCGGAATAAATAAGGTTATTCTTGTATTGTGAACAGATAGAGTTGCGTATGCTCTGCTGTCACCCGCCCAGGGCTTCCAGAGCTCAACTGATAGCTCTTCGTTTGGGGTGTTCACCGAGAAACGTCTCCGACGCCGCCAACCATACTGAACCACCAAGTCAATTTATTACCAAGGACAACGCTTTTTTCCATCACTCTGACACGCCCCGTGTCTTGGGCACGAGGTGAAACTCTGTGTTTTGAAATGGAGTCGCATATACCTAGGAGGTGTCTGGTCCCGGAACTTGACTGAGGATGACACACTCTACCATTGGATCATTAGAGGACCAATGCTTCTCTGAGTTTCGACACGTTCCTTGCTTTCATGGTTCTTTTGCTAACAAGATGTTGAGTTACAAAGTGCGAGGCAGGTGGTGTACCAGCTTTTGGCAGGTGCCTTTTGATAGAGGCGTGAAGAGAAGATCACAATAGAGATGGACATGTAATGTGCTCTTCATATGCAACAGGAGGGTAGTCACTGGTGTGCTGACTGTTTCTCGTCCAGTCCTAGTGCTTCCTGTGGCTATCTCACGGTGTTGGTCTCGATGATACAACTAGGCCGACCGCATATCTCTGTTCAAAACCTCCATTATGCGGCTTGCCGCGGGTCGAGATACCTTGATTAAGGTCAGCTTGTGGTGCCCCACGTGCTTTTCTACTCACGATGAAATTTCGTTTAGCCCCTTTCTGGTGCTAAACTAGAAGTGAATGGGACAGGCGATAGATAAACATATCCCAAAGAATCCTAAGAATGAACACGATCAAGCTTCCTCCTGAATCACAACAAATATCAATTTTTTGCTCTCACTTTCCTCTTTACATTGTATCTATCTTGACATCCAACCCCAACACGCCGGGTTAGATTCCACGGTCATTCAGCGCCCTGAGAAATGTCTTCTGAAATGAGAAGATATTTTCTGCATCCAGTATGGTGTAATGCGTCCCCGCAATGTGATGGAACCTCGGTGGTGACCGTGTATGGTCACTCCACTTCCCAATATAGTCACATGCCCATTGCTCGTTCGATATCGCCATCGAAGCCATTGGATCACAGTAAAACGCGTCAGCGCCTGCAACGGAGCCATTCGTCTTATGATCGACAATACAACGTTGCAGAGCATGTGTTAGATTAGCCCACCTCTCCAACGCGGACGCTGTCAACCCTAGTTCCGCCAATCGCGTGACATCAGCCTCACCCATCACTGTTTCTATCGCATGGCGTGGAGAGATATTTTCTGGTTCCAACCTCGGGTATATTTTCTTGATGCCCTCCTCCCGAATCACACCAACCATACGGCATATATGAAGCAGCATTTCCTTCCAGGCGACTGCACGCATCTGCGTACCATTCAGACTAGGTGGAAGATCAAGCAAACCCAGAAAGCGGACCTCGTCTCCATTGTGCTCCAGGGCCTTGGCAATATCAAATGCAACTTTCGCGCCGTAGGAATAACCGGCAATTGCGTACGGGCCACTTGGTTGCTTTTCCTTGATACTTGCATGATATGTGCTGACTATTTCTTCGAACGTGTGGAATGGATCCTCACCGTCGTTGAACCCGCGTGCTCGCAGCCCATACACAGGTCGATCGATGATAAACTTTGCTAGGTTCATGAATATCATGACTTCTCCGCCGACTGGGTGGACAAGCCAGATGGGTGGTTTTTTGCCTTGACTCTGTAATACGACTACAGGGTTGTATATGCTGCAGTCTCTTTGCTGAGCGTGCTGCTTCAGCGCGTCTGATAATGTCCGGATAGTGGGGTTTGTCATCAGGGTGATGAGAGGAATCTGTCCGTGACCTATCAGATCTTCGATACCTCTCTTGAGCTTGAGGAGCTCGATGGATGTGATTCCCAGATCAAATATTGACGTCAACACGTCGAAGTCCTCCGTCAAGTTCTCGGGTATAGTGCGGGTGAAGACGCCGAGTAGACTCTGTTCGAGACCAGACCGCGGCTGATGATGCGACACTTTGTGGTGTAGAGCCATCATCTGTTCGTTCGCTTCTTGATAACTTTTATAGTCTCCCCTTTCATAAGCAGCCTTGATCTTGCCGCGGGCAAGCTTGCCCAGAGTCGATTTCTCCAGCATTGTCCGGTCGAGCGGGAGAACTGTGGCACGCACGCCGACTGACATCATGGCGACCTTTCTGATCGCGGCTGCAGTTTCAGATCGTCGAACTGTGTCCGCTGGTGTGTAATTTGGGAGATAAACAATGATGACCTCCTCTGTGTCTGCGCTGGGCGGGAACGTGGAGAAACAACAAGTGAAACCAGAGATAAGGCCGGGGATGTTTGCTTCGTCGATGGCGGACTCGATATCGTGTGGACTGTAGTTGGCCCCATTCACAATGATGCTATCCTTTTCACGTCCAGCAAGTACCAGCATTCCGTTATCGTCAACGAAAGCTAAATCTCCGGTTTTGAACCAATTGTCGTTCGTGAATGTCGACTTTGTAGCAGCAGGATTGTTGAAATAACCTTTGAGAACCACCGGACCGCAGATCTCGAGATTACCTACTGTGCCCGGAGGAACACTATTGCCGTTTCCATTAAGCTGGACAATTCTCACTTGGATCCCTGGCATGCAGGACCCCACGGAAGCAAATGGAAGTCCGTGCTCGACATCATACTGGGGAAACGAGGTATTGTAAATGGCGCCCGCACAGGTCTCTGTCATGCCGAAGGCAGGCACAATTACGTTCGAGACAGCTCCACACTTCTTCAGCATCTGGGCCAAATCATTGATCGTCTGGGTAACGTTCGCCTCGCCACCGGAGACAATATACCGCAGGTTGCTGAGACTCCCGGTGTACTTGGCCAAGGTATCATCCGCACTCAATGCTGCGCGTAGTTTTGCGAGGAAAAAGTTAGGTGCGAAAGTTCGAGACACACGGTGTCGATGTATCAAATCAAGGAACAGGGTAACGTGAGACAAGACTTCAACTGTTGGGATATGGACTTGATCACTGTGGGTATAGATGCTGAAGAGATGAACTTCGACCAAAGAGGCGACATGATTCATTCCGACCCAATTCAGCTGTGCCGTGTTGTCTGGCAGTGGGAAGGTCCATGCTTTTCCCGAAAGAGATGCCAATATCTGCTCGTGAGTCAAAGGCACGACCTTGCAGTGGCCTGAGCTCCCAGACGTAAACATAAGCACTGCAATGTCGCCCCCCTCCTTGATCGGTAAATGTACCAGGTTTTCGTAATCAAGCGATTGCACGCAGATTGGTGTAATGTATTCTTGGCCAGCGAATTCCGCGGCCAGAGAAGCCGTGGTCAGGCATTTCGGACTCCTTAAAGTGGTTGATAGGTGTTTCAAATGGCGTAATCTTGTCTCGGGATTGTTGGAGAATGGAGTGGACATAGCTGGGATACAGTCTGCTATGAGGGTGGCCCAGAACCACAACATCGAATTCCAATGATCATTAAAGTGTAGAAGAACAACCGATCCGGGGACGACATGGTATTTGAAACGAAGAGCTCCGGCGGCCTTTCTGGCTGATTGTAAGAGGTCGGAGTATGAAAATATCTCCGGCGTATGGGTGTTTCCAATAGAATAGGTAATAATGTAGCGTGTCGGCTCCCGCGAAGCGATAGCTTCGAGAAGATGCAGTAGGCTTTGGAACAACATGATCACGATTTGAGATGTTTGTGCGCCTGGCATAGAGAAAAGCTTGAGCTTCTTATTCATGTCATCAGACACCCAGCGTAAGACACTACGGTCCATCAGGCTGGGCCCCATACATGGCTCCTTACATCTGATCGGTTGGATATCGGTGATGCTATTCGTAGGCAGCCTGCAGGATAACCAGGTATTGATATTCCTCTTGACGCCGGCCGGACACATTAGCCTTGGTAGGCGGCAAGGTTTGGCGGCAAGAGGTCACATTCCAAGATAAACTCCTTTCTTATTTACGAAGTATGTGATAACTATGAGTCGAATTTATGGACGTGCCGTCCGACAGAACAAGTGAATTGCACTATGCCGCCGACTCTGAGAGCCCCACAATACTATATGCTCCAGACCAAATCCTTCACTAGATCACATAAGATGGTTATGCAGCACCGAGCAAAACGGAATATGTGACTGGCTCTAAGATTGAGCCCTCTTGTGTATGTATGACTATGAGAAAGGTTCATATTTATGTTAATCTACCTCCAACAAGCGTAGATCACATATTAGCTGATGTATGATATGGGAGAATGTCGTCGCAGAAGGATAAATCAGCCCCCTACGTAGCTCTTCTATGTATTCCTCACGTCTGCAAGGCAAGCAGCTTGCGGACGTCCTCAAGTGGATGGCGACAGCCCAATAATTTGGACCTGCAGAGGCCTTGGTAGCGGGGCTAGATACGCTGACATGACATGCCAATAGCTTATAAACTGAGTTTCAGGCAGCTGGTCGCCCGGTTGCGTCCTATTCCGCAGCAATATATGCATCACGTTCGGCGAGCATTGTTGTTGTCGCAGACACACGTCCTCATTTCTCACCCCTCCTTGCTGGTAATGAGCCCTTACTGTTGTCATCCGGCTCAAAGCTAAAGGCAATCGTTAGAGTAAGCCTCTTTCCAGTACGCAGTAAATTGCTCCATTTGCATAATTGTCTCTCCATTGGCGTCTAATCGATGTTGGTAGCGTTATAAAACTCTTCAAGTGGGCATTGCCTCCGCTCGTCCACTGAAGCCTTGACAGTTGTGCTTTCAGATCGAACCCGGTGGTTTGGTTTCCTTTTTGGTTTGAACCATATTATCAAGGGCGGGTTTCAGATACTCCCAATAATACGCGCTTGGGGCTACAACCAAGTCCCTTTTGGCCACAGTCCTCATTGGCCTGTTGTTCAGGACAAGCTTCCATTCTATCATATCGCAGACGTATTCAGGTGGCTGATAATCGTATTTGCCTGTCTCGTCATATTCGACCAATGGCAGAGATCCGAGTCGGTTTGAGAGCTCTTGCGACGGGGTGTGACGCGGGGAAGGGCTTAGGGAGTATGCCGTGGAACGATCGAAATTACCCGGGGTTGGGGCGATATTAACTAGTCTCTTCGTAGATATCAAGGTACTAAAAGACACAAGATTGGGAGGGAAGAGGGCTGTCAAACTTTTCAAGATGGTAATTAAGTAACAAAGATTGAATGCTCAACAGACCTCAGCGTTGAGTATTTATAGGATTCAAATGTTCTATTAATCACAAAACTCCAGAATAGTTAACATTGTTGAGATCCTTGGGCCACTGTTCGTTTGGATAGCAACAGATTACCTAGAGTTCCACGCAAGGAGGGGACAGGAGCAAAAAGGGCAACAGAATAGGAAACTACACTCTTTCTGTTAGCTTAAGGATCAATAATATGGCTAAAGTCCCCTTACAGGTTGGCACTCGAAAATAGAAAGATCAACAAGAAAACACTTCTAATGTATCTGTAGCTGAGATCAACCACCGCCCAACTCCTTTAGCTGGATTCGTGCACCTCACTGACCGCCGTTCCATCAACATGAATTCGCCACTGCCTCTGCATTCAATAGTTGATTCTGATGCACAGAGTGAGAATTTTGTATATTACTCTGTGTATTTGGTGTGCTGAATTGTTAGACCTGTCTCTCAGTTGACTTGTGTTATGGATGTGTCACCAATTACTGTAATCCTGCCGACACAGTTGATGCGTCTTATATGCTTGAGATCAATCATTTTAAGCCTCTACTCCATTTCAATCCCGCCTACACATCAAACCCGGGCGATATGACTTTCTACCACTTCTATCCTAAACAATCTGCTGAAAGACTGCTAGCTTGGCTCACACATTGGCCAGTTATGCCGTAGCGAACAAGCAAAGCCCAATACTTTACCAATTCTCCCTACATGACGTGGATCAGTTTCTGCCTAGTTCCAGGAGTTGTCCCCTTTTTCCTCACTTTACAAGTGTGCTGTACTCTTCACCACATACCTAATTTTTAT